ATATATATATGTATATATATAAAACCCAAACACCTCACAAACACCTTTTACAAATGAGTTACCAACAGTCACAGCCCAGTGAAATACCCTAAATATACTGTAAATAACAGTATTTCATCTTCTTCTCTCTCTCTTTCTTTCTGTTTTTTTGTATAGAAAAAGCAACCTTGCTCTGAGTGTGGCTCCTTCACAGTCATTTTTATCAAGACACGTCACTGTCAGAGGCCATGACTTCCTGCTGGAGCAATCACCTTCAAAACCCTTTGACATGAAACATCTAAAATGGGGGCAAGACCAGCTACGGTTCTCTAACTATCAAGAAAACCCCTTCTCGTTCAACTTCTTTTCCACTTGGAATTGGTCCACTTGCCCCTAACCTGCACCCCTTCCAGTTTTGAATTTGACCTGCTCCTCTCTACAGTTATTCAGTCAGTCCACCGAGGCAACATCAAACACTCCTAAATCGAACCATGGCTAGCAGACTATGTTTGCCCTTCCTGTCTCCTTCGCTGCTTCTTTTTGTCCTCCTTCCTGCATTGTTGCTCCTCCACCTGCCTGGAACTGTGAAAGGGGACTGTTGGCTGATAGAAGGGGATAAAGGTTATGTTTGGTTGGCTATCTGCAGTCAGAACCAGCCTCCATACGAGACCATTCCCCAGCACATCAACAGCACGGTCAGTGTGAGCCTATTAGGCTTTCTTCAAAGTTTTTGTTTTATTCATTCACAGCCAACTCTGTTTGTGTCTTCATGCATTTTAAGGTATGCTAGTGTCATCTCAAAAGCAGAAGTGACTATTTGTCTCTTTCACTGCTGCCCTTCTTCACTAACATTTGCCTAAATATTGATCATATAAAATTGTGCAACTTTTGGTTACATATTTACTGATTTGGTAATGTTCACTCTCTAAAGTTTTTGAACTATGTAAATGTATACTCCAAAAAATGAACAAATTAATGTTCACTCAATATTTTGAAATGTTTTTCTTTTTTACAAAGATTGTTCAATGATGGTAAATAATATGAGTCATTTAGCATCTTGTCTATGGGGCGCCAAGTGTAAAATGAAATGTTAAAAAAAATTCACTAACATC